GGGGTGAGGCGAGGGTGTGGATGGGGCAAGAAGGGGTGTGGGGACGGGGGCCAGGCCTGTGAGGGGAGCCAGGCCCAAGTGCAGCAGGGTGAGGGGATGAGGTGGACAGGGTGGTTGTTGCTGGCTTGAGCAAGGGGTCCCAGGCCTCTCTGTCAGAGCTGGGGAGGCCCAGCCGGGCTGCGCTCAGGAAGGCGCTGCAATTGTTTCCACAGGGCTGGTTGATCCGTGCTGGGGTTCCGGAGGTGGCACCACGGGTGCCGTTGCCTGGGTCCTGGCGGTTGCCTTGGTCCTGTAAGGTGTTGAAGTCAGGGCAGCTCGGCCTCCTCTCTGCCTCTGCTCCTGGACACAGCACGAACGTGGCCTCTGTCACCTCCGAGGATAGGGCCGTGATGGTCAGTGCCCGGCTCCCTCCCGCTGGCTGTCCAGGGTGCCTGGGTGTTTCCTGGAAATCCTCAGGCCAGGGATGGGGGTCCAGTTGGGACCTGAAGTTGGATCTGCCCTGGGGACAGGGCTGCCAATGATGTCTGTGCTGTCAGCAGGACGCTTGGCCAGAGAACACAGCCCAGGTGCCTGCCCGCAAGACCACCGAGCCTGGGGCAGCAGCAGAGTGTGGACAGGCAGAGGGGGTCTCAGGGCCCCGAGCTGCCATAAGGAAGCACCACAAACAGAAGTGTACTATCTTGTGATTCTGGAGGCCAGAAGTCTGGTCTGAGATCAAGGTGGTGGCAGGGGTGGCTGTTCCTGAGCCATGAGGGGCACTTGTCCAAGCCCTCCAGCTTCTGGGGCTTGCCGGCTGCTTCTGGCATTCCTAGCTTGTCATCACCCTGATCTCTGTCCTCCTGCTCTCATGGCACCCTCCCTGTGCACATCTGTCTCCAAATCTCCTCTTTTGTAAGGACATGGCAGCACTAGATTAGGGCCCATCTTCACGGAGTAGGACTTCATCTTAACTAATTACATCTGCAGCAACTTTATCTCCAAATGTGATCCTATTCTGAGATACTAGGGCTAAAGACTTCAAAATATGAAATTGGGGGAGGGGGACGCAGTTTAGCTCATAACTGGAGTATTTTGTTCTCCGTGGTCCTGGTGGCAGGTCCCCAGGGTGCATGCTGGCACGGAGGGTGCGGGCATCCTGGAGGCTGTGCCGCTGGCCCCCAGCCCACGTTGGCTGAGAAAAACCAATCCGGGGCAGACAGAGCCTCATCTCCAGCCTTCATCTGCAAGCATGGGATGGTGCCATGAGGGCTTCATTCTTCGGGTTTGCTGATGTGATGGTGATGGTCTCCAGGGGCTCCCTGACCAAGACTGGCCAGTGTTCCTCCTGGGGGTGAGAACCTGGGAGGGGACTGCCTCAGGCCTCCAGGCCCCTGTCAACACTGATTCTGGGCTCAGACAGTGTTCCAGGGGGCAGCGGGTCCTGTCCTTCTGGCCACTGAGGACCCACAGCCTGCAGGGTCCAGACCTGTCCAGGGCCAGGGAAACGCTGGGAGCAAGGATGGAAGGTGGCGGTGGGCGTCCTGCATCCCTGAGACACCTGCAGGCTGTGTGGGTGGGAGGAGCTCCTGGGACACTCACACTGGGACTGCTCCTGGGAAATCCCCCCAGGCGCTGGCTGTGGGCAGCGACATCACCACGTGTTCATGGATTGGTTCTGGGTTTGATGAACAGGCATTCTGCGAGCACTGCCGGAAGCCAGCCCAGGGTGCCTGGGACTGGGCTTGAAGTTGGGTAGAGGAGGGAGGGGGAGGAGGGCCTCTGGCAGAACACAGTCCCATAGAGCTCTGTTCAGAGTAGCAAGCCTAGAAGAACCACACGGGCATGACACAAACGTGATGGACGTCCAGGCTTCCAGCACTTCTCAGGCACGTGCATGCTGAGCCCGAGCGGAAAGGCCTGGGCAGGGGGCAGGGCAGGGCTGTGAGCCCAGGGTGGACTCCAGAGATGGAGGGGCTGCGGCTTGCAGGGGGGAAGGATCCTCCCTGGGTGGCTGCCTTTGAGGGGAGCCAGTTGGACTTTGCGGGAGAAGGACGCAGAGCCTTGCAGGCTGATATGGTGGTGCCCTCGGGCATGTGTATGTGGCAGGGCCCACCATAAAGAGGGGGCAGAGACAGGTCATCTGCCTGGGAGTGGGGTCCTAGGTCCCCTCCAATTTGGGGACCTGGCTTGTCTGGGGCCCAAGGCCTCTGAGGACGACCTCCCAACCTTGGACTGTAGATGCCAGCTAGTCAGGGTCCCTCTCAGCACCACGCTGACCACCTATGTTCCCTCCCGCAGCCATCGTTAATCCCAAACAGCCCAAGGAGACGCCCAAAAGCTTCAGCTTTGACTACTCCTACTGGTCGCACACCTCGGTAAGCCGGGACCCTGGGTGGGGGAGGCGGGCAGCAGTGTGCAGGCCATGTGGCCCTCAGGGTCCCTCAACCTCTCTGAGCCGCTCATTCCTCTCTAACTGGGGCGAGGACCCCACCGTGCTCCCCTGCAAGGTCACCCTGAGCGGCCCATGCAGGGTCCCCAGCGAAGGCAGTGATGGAGGCTGCAGGGACTGAGGGGCTTCAGCTCCCTGTGGGTAGTTTCTAGGGTCAGAACTGTGTCCGTCCACCTGCTGGTGACTTTTCCCCGGATATCCCGAAGTCAGAATGCCCAAAGCTGACCCTGAGCCTGCCTGGAAGCTGTGCCCTGCACTCTGGGAGCCCAGGAGACCCCTGGACTCTTCTCCTTCCCTCCTCCCCCATCCAGTCCACACTGAGCCCCGTCCTCCACCTGCCAGCTCCTGGACCCTTCTAGAAGACGTGCAGCCTCCTCATCTAAGCCCCTCATGTCTATATCTCAGCACCTGCCCCCCATAACAGCCCCAGGGTTCCCTGCTTCTGCCTTCCCCATCCAGTCCGTCCTCCTTCCAGGATGACCCCCAGCCAACCACCCTGTCCCCTGCCTAAAGTGCCCCTCTGCCCTCAGGACAGTGTCCAGGTGCCGTAGCCCAGCCTGTGGGGTCTCTGGGTCTTCGCACCCTGTCCCCATTCCCAGCTCTTGTCACCCCTACTTGTCATGGTCACATGGAACTTACTTTGATTTTGAGGTCCCACCTTTGGGCCTTTCACATGCTGTTCCCTCTGCTGGAACCCATCCTGCCTCCTGCCTGGCCGGCCGCTCTTCATCCCTCATCTGGGACACAGAAGGCTCCTCCTCCAAGAAGCTACCCCACAAGGCAGGAGTAGGATGGGGGTTAGGCATCCCTCCCCGCTGTGCTGCCCTGGCACCCTGAGGCCCTGGGCACCCCCTGGCTCCACGGACATGAAGGGCTGAGCCTCGGGTGCACCCAGCCTCCTGCAGCTTCATTCCTTCCTTGTCCTCCAGCCCGAGGACATCAACTATGCATCGCAGAAGCAGGTGTACCGGGACATTGGCGAGGAGATGCTGCAGCACGCCTTTGAGGGATACAACGTGTGCATCTTCGCCTACGGGCAGACGGGTGCCGGCAAGTCCTACACCATGATGGGCAAGCAGGAGAAAGACCAGCAGGGCATCATCCCGCAGGCACGAGGCCGGGGGCAGGCGGGGACAGCCCCGGTGGATGGGGCGGGACAAGCTGAGGCTGAGAACTCCAGGCCAGGTGCCCCTGAGAGCAGCCCCCAGAGAGCAGGGAGTCAGGAGGGGAAGGCCAGCTGGGTCAACGGTGGGATTGGGGCAGGTGAGAGCCAGATGTGGCTGTGAAGCTGCAGACCCAGGCCCTAGGTGCGGGAAGCGCCCTGGCCTTGGACAGGGTCCACCTTGATCATGTGCCTAAGACAGCAGCTGGGAGAGCCCTGGCTGGGGCAGCTGATCTCTGAGGGTGTGAGGGCTGGCAGTGTGGGCAGAGAGAGGTGCTTAGGACAGAGGTGACCAAACACCAGACACAGAAGTTCCTCATTTGCTGCAGGAACCAAGTCCCCAGCCATTCCCCTGGGCAGGTCTCTGGACCTGAGTTGGTCACTAGTACTTTGCCTGCTGAGGGAAGGGACGTGGCTGAGATGTCTGTAGGATGGCAGAGCCAGGGAGAGGGGTAGACGACACACAGGAAAGGATCAGATACCAGCCAGGGACCCCTGAGTTAAGAGGGAGACACTGGCTCCTCGGCTACAGACTTTCTCAGTGCCTTTACCATGATGTGTGTGGTGAGGGTGCAAGAGGGGCCTGAGAGGGTGGCATCCCGCCTGGCACAGGCTGCCCACAGCATCGCAAGGGGCGGGGATCCAGGGAGCAGCCCCAGCCGTCCCTGGCTGACTGTCCCCCCATTCCTGCAGCTCTGCGAGGACCTCTTCTCTCGGATCAACGATACGACCAACGACAACATGTCCTACTCGGTGGAGGTAGGGTCCCCCCGCCTGCTGTCGGCCCCTGGGGCAGGGCTGGGAATCCGGTGTGGCTGGCAGTGCTTTTCTGATGCAAAGCGAGTGCCCACCACGCGTCTGCGCACCCAGCTTGTCCCTCGCTCATTCAAGTGGCAGGCAAGACGACGAGCCTGGGCAGGGCTCGAGACCCCCAAAGCACAGAGCGACGAGGTGATCCCCACCTAGCAGGTGCTTCTCCAGCAGCTGCTCTGTCCTGGGGCAGGGACAGGCACCTCAGAGCTCAGGGCCTGGCCATGCCTGCTGTGGCGGGGTGGCCCTGGCATGCGTGTGTCCTACAGCCCAGGATGGCCGTGGTGAGGGAGGCCGGATTGACACCCCTGCCTCACACATACACACAGGAGCTGCAGACTGGGAGTCCGCTGCCCAGCAGGTGGCGCCCACCTTCTCACTCACGGGTCCTGATGGCCCCACCCCTCACTCAGGGGTCCTGATGCTAGCCCCTACCCTGTCACTCAGGGGTCCTGACAGCAGCCCCCATCCCCTCAGGGGTCCTGATGGTGGCCCCCACCCCCTCACTCAGGGGTCCTGATGGTGGCCCCCACCCCCTCACTCAGGGGTCCTGATGCTAGCCCCTACCCTGTCACTCAGGGGTCCTGACGGCAGCCCCCATCCCCTCAGGGGTCCTGATGGTGGCCCCCACCCCCTCACTCAGGGGTCCTGATGCTGGCCCCTACTCCCTCACTCAGGGGTCCTGATGCTGGCCCCCACCTTCTCACTCAGGGGTCCTGATGCTAGCCCCTACCCTGTCACTCAGGGGTCCTGACGGCAGCCCCCATCCCCTCAGGGGTCCTGATGCTGGCCCCTACCCCGTCACTTAGGGGTCCTGATGGTGGCCCCCACCTTCTCACTCAGGGGTCCTGACGGCAGCCCCCACCCCCGTCACTCAGGGGCCCAGCAGGCAGCCCCCACCTTCTCACTCAGGGGTCCCCCCAGTGGCAGCCCCTGCCCCGTCACTCAGGGGTCCTGATGGTAGCCCCCACCCCCTCACTCAGGGGTCCCCCCAGTGGCAGCCGCACTCCCTGGTCTCAGGGGTCCTGACAGCCCGGCTCTGCCCTGCAGGTCAGCTACATGGAGATTTACTGTGAGCGTGTCCGTGACCTCCTGAACCCCAAGAACAAGGGCAACCTTCGCGTGAGGGAGCACCCACTGCTGGGGCCCTATGTTGAGGACCTCTCCAAGCTGGCTGTCACCTCCTACAATGACATCCAGGACCTCATGGACTCAGGGAACAAGGCCAGGTATGTGGGGGGACTCGCCGATCCTCCCTGCCCTCCTGTCCCGCCGCCTCTCCCCAAAGGAAGCCCCTTTGCCTCGGTCCTGGCCCTTTTCTGTAGGGTCCATCTGTGCCCCGTGGAGGTGTGGCCTCCTGAGCCTGAGGTCGTTCAGGCCTGTGCCAGCCCGAGAGAGGCCGAGGGCTCCCCCTGTGCAGGGGACACCGTCACCTTCATGGGGCTTCTCCTTCACGGGGGTCTGCGTCCTCCAGCTGAGGTGCCCAGGGGCTGCTAGCAGCATCTGTGGCTGCTGCCTTGGTGGGGCAGCTGTTCTGTCAGTCCCAGGGGTCCAGATTCTGTGTGGGGGCCAGCGTGCTGGGGTCGGGGCATGTGGGGGGTGGTTGGCTGCACAGTGCTACAGCAATAAACAACCCGGCTCCTTGGCCTCTGCTGCCCTGGGCCTCCTGCCTGGGATGCCCTGGTTGTCATGGCAACAGACCCCCTCCGACACCCAGGACTTCCTGAGGGTGAGGTGATGGTCCCTGTCACTCTCAGTTCCTGAGGTTGTGAGTCACACTCTGCGCCATCCTGCACCCCTTCGGTGGCCCCACAAGGGCCAGTGGGTGGGGGTACTGTTCCTGATGAGGTCCACAGCGCACCGTGGCCATCACTGTGACTCCTTGCTGGAGCGGGCCCTGGGTTGCCGCATGCCATCCGCTGAGTCTTGGGAGCCTTTCCTGAGGTCCCTGGCAGGTCAGGGTGGCATCGGGACCAACTCCAGGCCACCCTCAGCAGCCTTGGGCTTCCCGTTCTGGAGGACCGCCCTGCTGACCCATGACATCTCCTGTGGGGTGTGGCAGGCTCCTTGGCTTCCCAGAGCCACGGGTGTGGGCCATGGTAGGGTGGACAGTGGACAGCCCCTTCCCCTCCCATATCATGGCCATGGAGGGCTCCTGCCCAGCTGGGCACTGCATGGGCTTCTCTGTGCCCAGGAGTGGGATGCTTCCCCAGCTACTGCTGCCCTGAATACACTAGGCAAGGGCTGGGGCTGAGGATGCCACTGTGGGCAGGTGGCCGTGGGCCTTGCTGGAGTCCTGGCAGGTGGGACCATCAGTGCCAGGACCGGCAGAGTGGCTCCTGGGGTCTGGGGGAGCTGCCCCCCGATGACCTGGTTTGGAGGGCTGGCACCACCGGTGAACTTGCACC